AGGAGGCAGGGGGCAGCTGGGCTGCAAGGAAGTGGTAGAGGCCAGGGTCACAGGAGATGGGTGGGGGGCTCTGAAGCCTCTTCTTCCAAAAAATTTCTGCCACCTCCACAGCCTCCACCTGGCCCAGGTGGCCAGTTCTCACCTGCCTACAGGCCTGGGCCACCGCCAAGGTCTGTCTCTGGGGCAGAGTGGGAAGGTGGAGAGGAGAGGCATGGGGGTCTGCACAGGCCCTGGAGCACAGCCAAGTCATGGTGGGGCCCTGCTATTCTGGAGGCAGTGAGTAACCCCCAAGGACTTGGCAGGCTCTGTGGTAGTGGGGAAAGGGAAGCCCTCCATGCCACAACATCCTGAGATGTGCTGGGGTGCTGGATGGGTGGTGAGCAACTGGGGGGACACAGGCACCAAAGATTGGGTATGGCCCCGACTCTCACAAAATGCTGATTTTCGCATAATGACCTGGTCTTTGGAACCTAATCATATTGATAAGTGAGAAGTGGATGTATGTATATATGTGTGTATATGTCTTAGCTATCCATGATGTAACTTCTTTTTAAATGTGACTATATCATTGCTGTTAGGTACCACTGAGTCAACTCCAACTCATAGTGACCCCATGTCCAACAGAACAAAACACTGCCCCGTCCTGCACTATCCTCACAATCCTTGCTGTGTTTGAGCTCATTGTTGCACCACTGTGTCAGTCCATCTCGTTGAGGGTCTTCCCCTTTTTCATTGACCTTCTGCTTTATCAAGCACGATATCCTTCTCCAGAGACTGCTCCCTCTGACAACGTGTCTTAAGTAAGTGAGACAAAGTCTGGCCATTCTCACTTCTAAGGAGCATTCTGGTTGCACTTCTTCCGGGACAATTAATTCGTTCTTCTGGCAGTCTATAGTATTTTCAGTATTCTTCACCAACAACACAATTCAAAGGCATCAATTTTTCTTTGGTCTTCCTTATTCATTGTCCAGCTTTCTCATGCATATGAGGTGACTGGGAACAGCATGGCTATATATTAGTGATTGAAAAGTAGCATATGCCATTTTAGCAGAATGAGACGCACTGGATTATAGAATTTTTAGTGGATGTGAGGTACTAAGATCTTTACCATATACCACATTTTCTATAAAAAAAAAACATCCCACATATCCTATAGCAAAGGAAATGAGTCAGCGAACTTAATTGTTTCAACACGCAATGTGAAATGCTGCTAATATCCCACAATGAAAAATCGACTGTCATCAATTTTGCTTTAAACAGCTCATACTTCAGTTTGGATGCTGGTTTCATAACAAATGCTATAATTATAAATGACCAAAAGAAAAGATGTCATAAAAGAAAATTTAATGATCAGAAAACAAATATTACAACAAATTACTATCTTTTATTTCTAGATCTTTTACCTCTAACATGTTGTAATTAAAAACATTTCATTCTATTCATTGCTTTTA